GGGGAGGGCGGGAGGGGACTCGGGCTGAGGAGGTGGGGAGGGCGGGAGGGGACCCGGGGCTGAGGGGACGGGGAGGGCGGGAGGGGACTCGGGCTGAGGAGGTGGGGAGGGCGGGAGGGGACTGGGGCTGAGGGGGTGAGAAGAGAGGGAGGGGACTCAGGGCTGAGTCCCAGGATGGTGGCAGGGAGGGTCCTGCAGCTGAGGGGACATGGAGGGTGAGAGGGAGGGGACCTGGGGCCGTGGGTGAGGGGACAGGCTGGAGAGGGTAGGGATGCACAGAGCTGTGCAGTTTGTAGGCTGTTGTACAGGGTGGTCTTAAGAATGTGGGGGCAGGACTGTCCTGAGGATGCAGGGCCCAGGACTGGTGGATGGGGCTGAGAGGACCAGCATTTGAGCTGAGGGGCAGGAAGGTGACTCCAATCTGAGACTAGGACTTGGATGCAGCTCCACTGGAGCTCACCCTATCCTGGGAGCCACCTGGGCACCTGTCCTGCAGATGCAGGATTTGAACCCAGGTTTGGTGACTCAGTCCTAACTCTTCTGCTATGAATCCTGGGTCAGAAGCCTTCTCAAAGCACCCTGGCTTATCTCACCTGATGGTTCCTGACCAAGACCACAGGGTCCCCTCCCCTGGTGGAAGTCCACGGGGCCATGCTAGTCTGGGGTTCAGGAATGGCTCAGCGTTGTGAAGGAGCCCTGGTTGCTCTATGGATCCCAGGATCTTGCTCTCCCAGTCTTGAGGCACCACTTTCCTACCCTTCTTTAGTCCTCTTTGCTGTGGGGAAAGCTAGCGAAGTTCATCTCAGGTACAGTACAAGTTACTTTTCTGTTCGATTGGTGATCTTATACTTCCCCCATCTAAAGGACACCTTAGACCTCAGCATTCTGTTCGTACAGAAAGTATACACCCATCCTGCCTCCGTGCTCAGGCTTGTGAAAAGCTTGCTGTAGATGCTGCAGGGGATTGGGGATCCATACAGCCCTGCAAGGCCTTAGGAGCCTCTGGGGGCTGCTTTGTATGTGAGCTGCACTTGACCAAGCCAAGCTCTGGCAGTTGCAGTGGCTGCTCCCTGTGGCTTCCTATCCCCCATCCATGGTCCAAATCTCCTCAGCAACCATCTGCCAAAATGTTTCGTGGCAACAACTGGCTTAGGTGCTGATATCATCCCAAACTGAGCTCTGCCCTCTAGGGCTGCGTGTGTGGGTTTGCTTCCTAGTTCTTGGCCTTACACCTGAATGTGTCTCAGAGCACTTGGCCTGCTTTCGACGCCTGCCAGCTATGTTCTAGGAGGGATCATGTGCTCCAGGCTGTGATTTGGACAACTGTCTTGTCAGCCAGTGAAAGGCCTCTTCACACACCTGGGGTCTGGCAGCCACACCTCAGTGGCACTGTCAGAGGCCTGCTTCAAAGCAGACTCCAAAGGAAATCCAGCTTGATAAGGCTTGGGAGACCCCAGGAGGACACCATGATATGGCCCCTTCTGAGATATAGCAGACAGACTCTAGAATGGCTCCCATGACCACCTCCTGGCATGTATGTCCTTGTGTGATCTTACCCTTGAGTGTCTGCAGAACCTGTGCCTGTTGTAACCAATACAAAAAACACAAAGGAAATGGGATATCACTCCTGTGACATCCTGTGATCATATAACATAAGGTTATAATATCATCTTGCTAGCAGTCTATCCCTTGCTAGTTTTAATGAAAACAGGCTATAAGCTGTCCTATGAAGAGGCCCATGTGGCAGAGTACTGCGGTCCCCTCCAGCCCCCAACTAGCAAAAAACTAGGGCCCTCCATCATCCAGTCCACAAGGAGTTGAGTGTGGCTAGCAATAGTGTGTGCTTCAGAAGTGGCTCCTTTCCCAGTCATGCCTGAAGAGGAGACTATAGCCCCAGCTGATACCTTGATTGCAGCCTAACAGGACCTTGAGCAGAGAACCCAACAAAGCCACACTTGGACTCCTGCTCCACAGAAACTAAGAGATCATAAATGTGTATTGTTTTAAGTTGCTAATTTGTAGTGATGTTCTTATGCAGCATAGATAACTCATACACAGAAGCAAGGTCACGTGAGAACCCAGTAGGGGCCCCTGCTGCTCAGCCACTCCCCATATGCTGGGAGAGCTGTCTCTCTGGCCTCTAACACCAAGGTCCCCACTATCCCAGGCCTTGACTCTAGGATCAGAGAGGGACAAAAGCTCCATGGAGCCAGGCAGACTTCTCCCTCTGCAGTACTCCCTGGGCTGCTCTCACCTAGTTTGTCTGGCACATACAAGTTGTAGCAGAGAGAGGCAGGAAGCTGGGCAGGGAGAGGGTGACAGCCTTGCTCAACTGAGGGATGAGTGCCCACCAAATTTCCCTTCTTTTCCTGCTCATGAGCCCCCAGGGGACCTGTGTTCGTTCACTTTCTAGAAGCTTCTATATCCCCTAACTTGGATGACCCCCACAGGCCTCTCCAACTCAGTACAGAGAACATATGACCCTGGTGGCATGGGGGGAGAACCCAGCATCTCTCCCCTGCCCAGGTTCCTGTACCCCATAGCTGCCACCCCTCTGGAACCTCTCAGGGAAGCACAAGGAGTGGTAGCCTTGGAGTAGCGCTCACCCTCTGAGCACGTGGTCCTCCAGATTGGCTCACAGCCCAGCTCTTGCTCTCATACCCACAGCCATGAGAGCAGCCACCTCCCTAGGAGACCATGAGCACTAGATACCCAGGAGCCCACCTAAGCCAGGAGGGTGCTGGGGCCAAGTTCCGTTGCCCCCTTTGACACTGCATACCCATGAACCCAGCAGGGGTATCTGAGGGCAGCTGGGAAGAAATTTGACCACTGAAAGACTGTAGAAAACCCCTTAAACCTCACTCTACTACCCCACGTGGATTTGGTTCCTGTGGGCTGCCCAAGAGAGCCTCTGTGGTGAAGAAGCTTCTGAGGATGTGCCCCTAAAGATGGCCAAGGACACCTTTCTGTGCTGTCCCCACTCTGCACTCCATCCCCCATCCCACACTGCCTCCAGCTGGAGAGTTGAGGGTTTTGTGTCTGTGTTTCTGCAACACTGTGAACTCAGCCCTATCTTCCTTGTCTTCCTCACAGCCCCTAAAGCTCAGGGAGCTCAGAGGAGGACATGGACAAATGGACCATAAGTAGGCAACCACTCTACTGGTCCTCCTTGACTGTTCTCTAGAGCTACTTAGTAGAGACCTGGAGAGCATAGGAGGAAAGCAGTGGTGAACTTCGACCCTGAGACAAAAGACCTGAGCAGACTTCACCATGGGATGTAGCACTTTCTTTATTGCCCATCCAGAGAACAGCCAAGCCAGCTTCATCTGCATTCTGGCTGCAGCATGTACATTAGGGGGGGCCACAGTGTGGGATGTGCATGCTGGCAAGGCACTGGCAGATGCTGGCAGGCAAGTGGACATGGATAGATGAGAATGACAACTCACAGATGTCCTAGCTTCTGTTGACCCACCTGCCAGCCACTGGCCAGCACCTTTCTGCCCAGCATGTGTGCATTGTCACACAGAATGTCTTGAAGCTTGCCATTAGTGAGGCATTCAACAAAGAAGTAAGCGCATAAGTGAGTAGGAAACAGTGTTTCCTGGAATATACCGCACTCTGCCTGAAATAGGAAAACCATGTTTGCTAGGAAGCAGCAGCAGCAGGAAAGAAGTTATACCAAAACTACTTGTATACCACAGATATTCTAACCCTTTCCTCAAAGAAATAGTCATGTTCTGTTGGGTATTATGGACAGGTCTCTTGAAATTTATCTAATAAAGACAAACAAACTTCCCCAGCAGTGCCTCTGAGTACCATGTGAATTCTGGTGTCTTGTGAGAAGCCAGGGTGCCTTCTTTGTATCCAAAGCTTTGAGGAAGCTCTAAAGCTTTGGTTCCATTTTAGGAGGGCTGTGTGATGGTGTCAAAGGTGTTCTGGTCATTTCTGCTCTGTTCTCAGTCTGTGAAGGTAGGTGGACATAATGTGCTCCTATGGGGTGTTCCATATGTGTGTGTAGCCTCTGCTTTCCAGCTTAGTTTTTTGCATCTCTCTTGTGTTGACGAGCCACACCTCTCAGCCTTCATTTGGTCACAGGCCTGAGCCTTTGCCTTCATCATCAGCTTTTTTGTCCTGCTCTAGCAGGATTAACTCTGTTCTTGCCACGGATGTCACCATCACTCTGGAGCCCAGCCCAGCGTCCACAGGCCCCACTAGTTCACTCTCTTCCTTCTCTTCAGGGGAGAAACTTTCTTGGGCATCAAAAAAGGTGATTGTTTCTTCTTGAAGTTTTTGTTCTTCCAGCTCTGCCTCATCTTCAGTGCTTTTGCTTTTCTTGGTAGAAGATGAGGAGAACCCTAATTTGGGAAATCGGAACCAGCCTGCCTTCTCCTGTTTTTTAGGCAGTTCAGCCTCTGGTCGTGCCTCAGGCTGTGTTTGAATAGGAGCAGTTCTCTGGGCATCATTTTTGGAATCAACACCTGTGTCATCAACAGAAGAGGAAAACCCAATATTTGGAAGCCAAAACCAAAGCAGACCAGATTTTTTACTTTCTGTTTTCTCTTTTGGAGCCCTGCCTTCATCTGCCAGCGGTGTGGTTGCTTCTTGGCTGTCATCAGGGGGAAACTCAAGAATTTCTGCTGGCTCCTCATCTGAACAGCTGTCTGCAAGCTGGTGGCCAGCAGGAACTTCAGATGTGAGTGTTTGCTGTCCCAGTACATTGATGCTGGAAGAGATCATCTCAAATGGTTCTCCAGTGTCAGGCTGGAGATCTCCAGAAATGGAGTCTACTCTGAGGGCAGCTTGTGTGGGTGCCTCTTCCAAGCCCTCCTGAGTCCTACAGTGTTGAGTCACTGTTGTGTACACTCTAGCCTGCATTGGGGCCTCTGGGATTTTCACCTTTAGCAAGGAAAATCCATACGAAGGTGTTTGAATCTCTGATGCGGGGATCTCTGATTCCCGTACAATCTGAGTGGAAAAACCCCTGGGTGCTGAGAGATCTATAAACTCTGGTGTCACTGTACTGTGTATGGTGACCTCTTGACTTTCAGCATGAGCACCCTGAATATGCACTCTGACCTTTGAAATTGGGGAAGCTTCCAAAGGCAGGTTAAGGTCCACAGGCTGCTCCCTGGGGACCCCAGCACCTGCCTTCAGGATGCTGGCTCCCCAGAGCCCCGGCCTTTCCTTACAAAGGGCTATGTCAATATTGGCCTCTGGACACTGCACTTCCCTCACAGTGGGGATGAACACATCATCCTCTGAGCTGGGGGCAGGGAAGGAGAACCTTGGTACCTTTAACTTGGGGAATTTGACAGTTAACACAGAATCTTCCCACAGCTGATCCACATTAACCACAGAAATCTGGGATGGCACATCAGTACTTGAAGCTTTCAGTTTAACTGGACCTTCAGGCAGTGAAGACCTTTTCTCTGTTTTCTCCTCCATGCCAGCAAGATCATGTCCTGGCTTGGAAAGAGAAATCTCATCCATTTCTCCTAGAAGAACCTGGGTTTCTGGAAGCCTTGTGCCAGGCATCTGAAAAGGGAGAGGTCCTTTGGTTGAATGGATCCTGACCTCAGAAGTGGGAAGCTCACCCTCAGCCACTCCAGCAGTGGAGAGGTGCAGCTTCAAGCCTGTGCTGTCAAGATCACACTTTAGAACCTCTGTGGATGATTTGTTCTTAGAAGCTGTCACTACTGCCTCTGCTTCTGGGAGCTGTAGGGACATATTTGTCTCCACGTTTGACCCAGAAACAAGAAACTCTTTGACTCCAGCTGCTGCTTCACCCCCTGTTACTGCCGATGCCTGTGTCTGAGCCACTTCCAGCTTTCCAGCTCCACCTCTGTCCCTGGAAGAGTGCCTGAGACTGGGCATGTGGAACTTGGGCATTTTAAACCAGATTTCCTGCAAGTCCCTTGTCGTGCCCTCCTCCTCTGGGCTTTCCACTGTGTGGTCTTCAGCATCTGGTTTTCTACAGGATGGCTGGAGGGGGTCTTCAGGTGTGGGGGCTATCCCCTCCCCACAAGGCTGGCTTGCTGGGACATCCCCAAGCCCACATCCTCTGCTGTCACCTTCAGTAGACAGATTATGTTTGGGAAGAGGCAGGTCAGCTTCAGACTGGCTCACCTCCACCTTGGTCTTGGAGGATCTGAGATCAGGTTTGGCAAAGCCCAAACTAGGAATGCGGACCTGTGGCCAATGGAGGTTCACACCCTCACCTTCTGTGGCGCCTGCTGTTGAACCAAGTCCTCCCCCACCACCTTCACTGCTGGCCTTTTCTGTGACATGAAAGCTACCCCCTGCTGTGGCACTAGAATGAGAAGGATCCATGTCTCTCTGTGGCAGGCTGACACCACCCTTAGAAACTTTCATTTTGGGAAGTGCAAGTTTTGGCATGGCAAAGCCAGGCTTTGTGCTGCTTCCCTTCTCTCCATCCCTCTCTGGAGGCAGATTCATGTGCATGGCAGGCTGGAGGGCCACTTCATCCTTGTCTAAAACCAGGCTGAGTTTTGAGTCCTCCACACTGCATTCTGGGTCCACCTTTGGCCCTGCTTCCTTCTTTGGGGACCACCTAAATGATGGAAGCTTAAACTTGGGCATTTTGAAGGAACTCCCTTTCCCTTCGTGGTCAGCATCTTCCGCAGGGGTTCCTCCGGGAGCCACTACTGAGGTCTCCAGGGAGTCCACAAGCTCTTCCAGGCCCTGGGACACAGAGGTGCCTGGGGATGGCAGCTGAGTGCTTGGCAAGGGGAACGGTAGCCCCTCTCCAGGGCTAAGAGGAGACATGACTGGGGTACCCACCGCTGAATGTAGGTCTCCCTCAGGAACTGCCATTTGGGGGCCTGAAAACACAAATTTTGGTTTATAGAATTTAGGAAAAGACACCTGACCATGAGGAGCAGGGATCATGGAATTCAGTGTACCAGAGTGACTGTCAGTTTGAGAAGTTTGAACTCCCTCTGGACGCTGCAGGTCAGTGGAACACTCTGTCTTGGGAAGACGAATCTCAGCCTGAGACCCAGAAGGAATTTGCAGAGCAAGCTCAGGGGCCAAGGAAGCTCTGGGAACAGTCACCTGGTATTTTGTGAGTATGTCACCCTCACAGGGGGAAAGGATAGAAGATTCAAAGTGGGGACCAGTGAGATCAAGCTGAGATGATGAAAATCCAGACAAACCAACCTTAGGCATCTGCATGGATGGCTCTAAATCAGCCGAAGCCTGGTGTAATTCAAACTGTGAAGAATCTGAAGATGATGCCACAGGAATTGTGGAGAGACTTATACCAGGCTCCGCACCTGGAACTAGACTATCTTTAGCAGTTTTTGCAGAAGAAAATGAAACTTTGGGCGCTATAAACTGCAGGTTCTTAAACTTAGAATCTACTCCAACTATTCCAACACCAAGTCCAAACTTATCATCGTGTGATGGAACCTGAAGATCACCTTCACAAACGACTTCAAACTTCCTGTCATTTACAGACACGTACTTTTCGTCCAAGGACCAGTTGCCTGCAAGCTGAAAACTGCCCAGCTTGGCTCCTGGGACATTGACATCCACCTCCATGCTGGGCAGAGACACTTCCACATCAGGTACTGTCACCTCTGCCTTGGGGCCTTTCATGTCCAGCTTGGGGCCCTTGACGTCCACCTGGGGGCCCTCGAGGTCCACTTTGGGCATCTTGAAGCTGGGCATTTGCACCTCGGGCAGGTGCCCTTTGAGGCCAGCTCCCTCAGACATGTGGCCCTCTGGGAGCTTCACGTCCACATGGCCAGCCTGGACCTCCAGGTTGGCAGAAGGGGGCTGAATGCTGAGGTCAGTGGTCTTGAGGTCCCCCTGCATGGAGGGGAGGCCCACCTTGGCCTCCACCTTCGGCACAGACGTGTCCACTGAGGCCTCGATGGACTTGCCTGGGGCTGACACCCTGAATGATGGCATCTTGAACTTCGGCATCCTGAACTTGCTGTCTTTGGCGGTGATGATGTCCTTGTCGGCAAGGGACAGGTCCCCCTCCAGCTGCACACCGTCCAGCTTGGCTCCTGGGGCTTGGATATCCACCTCCACGCTGGGCAGAGACACTTCCACGTCGGGGGCTGTCATCTCTGACTTGGGGGCTTTCAGGTCCAGCTTGGGGCACTTGACATCCACCTGGGGGCCCTTGAGGTCCACTTTGGGCATCTTCAAGCTGGGCATCTGTACCTTGGGCAGGTGCCCTTTGCGGCCGGCTCCCTCGGACACATGGCCCTCCGGGAGCTTCACATCCACCTGGCCGGCCTGGGCCTCCAGGTCGGCGGAAGGGGGCTGAATGCTGAGGTCTGTGGTCTTGAGGTCCCCCTCCATGGAGGGGAGGCCCACCTTGGCCTCCACCTTTGGCGCAGACACGTCCACTGAGGTCTCGATGGACTTCCCTGGGGCTGACACCCCAAACGATGGCATCTTGAACTTGGGCATCTTGAATTTGCTGTCTTTGGTGGCGGGCACATCCTTGTCGGCAAGGGACAGGGCCCCCTCCAGCCGTGCGCCATCAAGCTTGGCTCCCGGGCCCTGGACGTCCACCTCGACACTGGGTAGAGGCACTTCCACGTCAGGGGCTGTCACTTCCATCTTGGGGCTTTTCAGGTCCAGCTTGGGGCCCTTGATGTCCACCTGGGGGCCCTTGAGGTCCACTTTGGGCATCTTGAAGCTGGGCATCTGTACCTTGGGCAGGTGCCCTTTGAGGCTGCCTCCCTCAGGCACGTGGCCCTCCGGGAGCTTCAATTCCACCTGGCCAGGCTGGACTTCCAGGTCGGCGGAAGGGGGCTGAATGTTGAGGTCAGTGGTCTTGAGGTCCCCCTGCATGGAGGGGAGGCCCACCTTGGCCTCCACCTTCGGCACAGACACGTCCACTGAGGCCTCGATGAACTTGCTTGGGGCTGACACCCCGAACGATGGCATCTTGAACTTGGGCATCTTCAACTTGCTRTCTTTGGAGGCAGCCACGTCCTTGTCGGCAAGGGACAGGTCCCCCTCCAGTTCCGCACTGTCCATTTTGGCTCCAAYGTCCACCTCCACACTGGGCAGARACACTTCCATGTCAGGGGCTGTCATCTCCATCTTGGGGCCTTTCAGGTCCAGCTTGGGGCCCTTGAGGTCCACCTGGGGGCCCGTGAGGTCCGCTTTGGGCATCTTCAAGCTGGGCATCTGCACCTTGGGCAGGTGCCCTTTGAGGCCGGCTCCATCGGGCACATGGCCCTCTGGGAGCTTCATGTCCAGATGGCCTGCCTGGACCTCCATGTCGGCAGAAGGGGGCTGAATGCTGAGGTCGGTGGTCTCCAGGTCCCTCTGCATGGAGGGGAGGCTCATGTGGGCCTCCACGTTTGTCGCAGACACATCCGCTGAGGCCTCGATGGACTTGCCTGGGGCTGACATCCCGAATGATGGCATCTTGAACTTGGGCATCTTGAACTTGCTGTCTTTGGCAGCGGTGACGTCCTTGTCAGCAAGGGACAGGACCCCCTCCAGCTGCCTGCCGTCAAGTTTGGCTCCCGGGGCCTGGACATCCACCTCCACGCTGGGCAGAGACACTTCCACATCGGAGGCTGTCACCTCCGCCTTGGGGCTTTTCAGGTCCAGCTTGGGGCCCTTGATGTCCACCTGGGGACCCTTGAGGTCTACTTTGGGCATCTTGAAGCTAGGCATCTGCACCTTTGGCAGGTGCCCTTTGAGGCCGGCTCCCAGAGGCACATGGCCCTCTGGGAGCTTCATGTCCATCTGGCCAGCCTGGACCTCCAGGTCGGTGGAAGGAGGCTGAATGCTGAGGTCAGTGGTCTTAAGGTCGCCCTGCATGGAGTGGAGGCTCACCTCGGATGACACCTTCGGCGCAGACACGTCCACCAAGGCCTCGATGGACTGGCCTGGTGCTGACGCCCCGAATGATGGCATCTTGAACTTGGGCATCTTGAACTTGCTGTCTTTGGTGGTGGCTAGGTCCTTGTTGGCCAGGGACAGGTCCCCCTGTAGCCGTGCGCCATCCAGCTTGGCTCCCGGGGCCTGAACGTCCACCTCCATGCTGGGCACAGACACCTCCACATTAGGGGCCATCACCTCTGCCTTGGGGCCTTTCAGGTCCAGCTTAGAGTCCTTGACGTCCATCTGGGGGCCCTTGAGGTCCACTTTGGGCATCTTGAACTTGGGCATCTTGAACTTGCTGTCTTTGGCGGCAGCCACGTCCTTGTCAGCTAGAGACAAGTCCCCCTCCAGACGCATGCTATCTACCTTGTTTCCCAGGGCCTGGATCTTCACCTCCATGCTGGGCAGAGCCACCTCCACATCGGGGTCAGTGGGGACTGTCACTTCCGCCTTGGGGCTTTTCAGGTCCAGCTTGGGGCCCTTGACGTCCACCTGGGGGCCCTTGAGGTCCACTTTGGGCACCTTGAAGCTGGGCATCTGCACCTTGGGCAGGTGCCCTTTGAGTTTGGCTCCTTTGGGCATGTGGCCCTCTGGGAGCTTCACATCTACCTGGCCAGCCTGGACCTCTAGATCGGCAGTAGGGGCCTGAATGCTGAGTTCAGTGGTCTTAAGGTCCCCCTGCATGGAAGGGAGGCTCACCTCGATCTCCACTTTCGGCGCAGACACGTCCACCGAGGCCTCGAAGGACTTCCCTGGGGCCGACGTTCCGAATGATGGCATCTTGAACTTGGGCATCTTGAACTTGCTGTCTTTGGCGATAGCCACGTCCTTGTCAGGCAGGGATAGGTCCCCCTCCAGCTGCACGTCATCCAGCTTGGCTCCCGGGGCCTGAATGTCCATCTCCACGCTGGGCAGAGACACCTCCATGTCAGGGGCCATCACCTCCGTCTTGAGGCCTTTCAGGTCCAGCTTGGGGCCCTTGATGTCCACCTCGGGGCCCTTTAGGTCCACTTTGGGCATCTTGAAGCTGGACATCTGCACCTTGGGCAGGTGCCCTTTGAGGCTGGTTCCCTCGGGTACATGGCCCTCTGGGAGCTTCACATCCACCTTTCCAGCCTGGACCTCCAAGTTGGCGGTAGGGGCCGGAATGCTGAGGTCAGTGGTCTTGAGGTCGCCCTGCATGGAAGGGAGGCTCATGTCGCCCTCCATCTTCGGCACAGACACATCCACCGAGGCCTCGATGGACTTGCCTGGGGCTGACACTCCGAATGATGGTATCTTGAACTTGGGCATCTTGAACTTGCTGTCTTTGGCGATGGCCACGTCCTTGTCAGCCAGGGATAGGTCCCCCTCCAGCTGCGCGCTGTCCAGCTTGGCTACCGGGGCCTGAACATCCACATCCACACTGGGCAGATGCACCTCCACGTCCGGGGCCATCATCTCCACCTGGGAGCCTTTCAGGTCCAGTTTGGGGCCCTTGATGTCCACCTGGGGGCCCTTGAGGTCCACTTTGGGCATCTTAAACTTGGGCATCTTGAACTTGCTGTCTTTGGTGGCGGCCATGTCCTTCTCAGCCAGGGACAGGTCCCCTTCCAGCTGTGCGCTATCTACCTTGTCTCCCGGGGCCTGGATGTTCACCTCCACACTGGGCAGAGACACTTCCACATCAGGGGCCATGGGGACCATCACTTCTGCCTTGGGGCTTTGCAGGTCTAGCTTAGGGCCCTTGAGGTCCACTTTGGGCATCTTGAAGCTGGGTATCTGCACCTTGGGCAGGTGCCCTTTGAGGCCAGCTCCCAGAGGCACGTGGCCCTCTGCGAGCTTCAAGTCCACCTGGCCAGCCTGGACCTCCACGTCAGCGGAAGGGGCCTGAATGCTGAGGTCAGTGGTCTTGAGGTCCCCTTGCATGGAGGGGAGGCTCACTTCGGCCTCCACCTTTGGCACAGACACATCCACCGATGCCTCGATGGACTTCCCTGGGGCAGCCACCCCAAATGATGGCATCTTGAACTTGGGCATCTTGAACTTGCTGTCTTTGGCGATGGCCACATCCTTCTCAGCCAGGGATATGTCCCCCTCCAGCTGCACGCCATCCAGCTTGGCTCCCGGGGCCTGGACGTCCACATCCACACTGAGCAGAGACAACTCCACATCAGGGGCAGTGGGGACCGTCACTTCCGCCTTGGGGCTTTTCAGGTCCAGCTTGGGGCCCTTGACGTCCACCTGGAGGCCCTTGAGATCCACTTTGGGCACATTGAAGCTGGGCATCTGCACCTTGGGCAGGTGCCCTTTGAGTCTGGCTCCCTCGGACATGTGGCCCTCTGGGAGCTTCACATCCACCTGGCCAGCCTGGACCTCCAGATCGGCAGTAGGTGGCTGAATGCTGAGGTCAGCGGTCTTAAGGTCCCCCTGCATGGAAGGGAGGCTCACCTCAGCCTCCACTTTCGGCACAGACACGTCCACCCTGGCCTCGAAGGACTTGTCTGGGCCCGACGTTCCGAATGATGGTATCTTGAACTTGGGCATCTTGAACTTGCTGTCTTTGGCGGCAGCCACATCCTTGTCAGTCAGGGATATGTCCCCCTCCAGCTGCACGCCGTCCAGCTTGGCTCCCGGGGCCTGAACGTCCATCTCCACGCTCGGCAGAGACACCTCTACGTCGGGGGCCATCACCTCTGCCTTGAGGCCTTTCAGGTCCAGTTTGGGGCACTTGATGTCCACCTGGGGGCCCTTGAGGTCCACTTTGGGCATCTTGAAGCTGGGCATCTGCACCTTTGGCAGGTGCCCTTTGAGGCCGGCTCCCTCAGGCACGTGGCCCTCTGGGAGCTTCACATCCACCTGGCCAGCCTGGACCTCCAGGTCGGCGGAAGGGAGATGCATGGTAAGGTCAGTGGTCTTCAGGTCCCCCGGCATGGAGGGGAGGCTCACCTCAGCCTCCACATTCGGCACAGAGACATCCACAGAGGCCTCCATGGACTTGCCTGGGGCCGACACTCCAAATGATGGCATCTTGAGCTTGGGCATCTTGAACTTGCTGTCTTTGGTGGCAGCCACGTCCTTGTCAGCCAGGGACAGGTCCCCCTCCAGCTGCGCGTCATCCAGCTTGACTCCTGGGACCTGGACGTCCACCTCCACACTGGGCAGAGGCACCTCCATGTCGGGGGCCGTCACCTCCGCCTTGGGGCCTTTCACGTCCAGTTTGAGGCCCTTGATGTCCGCCGCAGGGCCCTTTAGGTCCACTTTGGGCACCTTGAAGCTGGGCATCTGTACCTTGGGCAGGTGCCCTTTGAGGCCAGCTCCCTCAGGCACATGGCCCTCCGGGAACTTCACGTCCACCTGGCCAGCCTGGACCTCCAGGTCAGCGGAAGGGGGCTGAATGCTGAGGTCAGTGGTCTTGAGGTCGTCCTGCATGGAGGGGAGTCTCACCTCGGCCTCCATCTTCGGCACGGACACATCCACCGATGCCTCGATGGACTGGCCTGGGGCTGACACCCCGAATGATGGCATCTTGAACTTGGGCATCTTGAACTTGCTGTCTTTGGCAGCGGCCACGTCCTTGTCAGCTAGAGACAAGTCCCCCTCCAGACGCACGCTATCTACCTTGTCTCCCAGTGCCTGGATCTTCACCTCCATGCTGGGCAGAGCCACCTCCACATCAGGGGCAGTGGGGACTGCCACTTCCACCTTGGGGCTTTTCAGGTCCAGCTTGGGGCCCTTGACGTCCACCTGGGGGCCCTTGAGGTCCACTTTGGGCACCTTGAAGCTGGGCATCTGCACCTTGGGCAGGTGCCCTTTGAGTTTGGCTCCCTCAGGCACGTGGCCCTCTGGGAGCTTCACATCCACCTGGCCAGCCTGGACCTCCAGGTCAGCAGTAGGGGGCTGAATGCTGAGTTCAGTGGTCTTAAGGTCCCCCTGCATGGAAGGGAGGCTCACCTCGGCCTTCACTTTTGGCACAGACACGTCCACCGAGGCCTCGAAGGACTTCCCTGGGGCCGACATTCCGAATGATGGCATCTTGAATTTGGGCATCTTCAACTTGCTGTCTTTGGCAGTGGCTACGTCTTTGTTGGCCAGGGACAGGTCCCCCTCCCTCCGCGCACCGTCCAGCTTGGCTCCAGGGGCCTGAACGTCCACCTCCATACTGGGCACAGACACCTCTTCATCAGGGGCCATCACCTCCACCTTGGGGCCTTTCAGATCCAGCTTGGGGCCCTTGATGTCCACCTGGGGGCCCTTGAAGTCCACTTTGGGCATCTTGAACTTGGGCATCTTGAACTTGCTGTCTTTGGCAGTGGCTACGTCCTTGTCAGCCAGGGACAGGTCCCCCTCCAGCCGCGTGCTGTCTACCTTGTCTCCCACGGCCTGGATATTCACCTCCACGCTGGGCAGAGACACCTCTACATAGGGGGCTGTGGGGACCATCACTTCCCCCTTGGGGCCTTTCAGGTCCAGCTTGGGGCCCTTGACGTCCACTTGGGGGCCCTTGAGGTCCACTTTGGGCACCTTGAAGCTGGGCATCTGCACCTTGGGCAGGTGTCCTTTGAGGCCGGCTCCCTCGGCCATGTGGTCCTCTGGGACCTTCACGTCCACCTGGCCAGCCTGGACCTCCAGGTCAGTGGTAGGGGGCTGAATGCTGAGGTCAGTGGTCTTGATTTCCCCCTGTATGGAAGGGAGGCTCACCTCGGACTCCACCTTTGGTGCAGACACGTCCACTGAGGCCTCGATGGACTTGCCTGGGACCGACGCTCCGAATGATGGCATCTTGAGCTTGGGCATCTTTAACTTGCTGTCTTTGGTGGCAGCCATGTCATTGTCAGCCAGGGACAGGTCCCCCTCCAGCTGCGCACCATCCAGCTTGACTCCCGGGACCTGGATGTCCACCTCCACACTGGGCAGAGACACCTCCACGTCGGGAACTGTCACCTCCGCCTTGGGGTCTTTCAGGTCCAGTTTGGGGCCCTTGATGTCCATCTGGGGGCCCTTGAGGTCCACTTTGGGCATCTTGAAGCTGGG